GACTCCCACCTTTGCTGCAGCTTGAAGAAAGACACTCTTATGGCTTTGACGCTTTTCCCCAGAAGCCAAAACAGCCCCTTCCTTGTGGTTTTCAACTCACTAGTTCTTCTCTTCTCCCAGGTGATCTCTGGGCCCAGCCGTGGCACGGGACCGAGCGATGCCACGTGCCTGCCTCTGCCCGTGCACAGCGGTAAGCTTGCCGCTGGCTGCGGTGGGATCCAGATGGCTCGTGTTGGTCTTGGATGTGGGGCTGATCCCCACCTCCTCCTCCTCCTCGGCTGCTGCCACATAACCAGTTCTGCCCCGTCCTACACTTGTGCGATAGCAGCTCCACCACCGCTCACCTTTGGTGCCACCGAAGGGCAGCCCGGCACCCTCGGAGCAAGGCTTTATCACCATGCTGCCATCATCTCTCGCGGTGACATCCCAGGTGTGATGAAGGTAACGAAGGCATCATTCAGGAGCAGCCCCAGCAGCCCCACCCTTTGGGTCTGACACCCACCTCCCCCTGGCCCAGCAGCACCCATGGGTGCTCTCCTGGCTGTGGGCTTCCCTTGCTAACGAGCAGGTGATGAAGCCGTGCTGCGTATCCGAATGAATCGCTGACCTGGCCAGCTGCAGCCAGCCCCGCAGCTTGCTGGCCTTTGGACACTGCTGTAATTCGTTAGTGCCCCTGGCTCTGGAGATGATCTTTGGTAATGCAAGCCCTTACGGTAGCACTGAAACCTCAGCAGGTCTCTAACGCACCCTCGGCTCTGCCCCTTTTGCAGCAGGTGTGATTTTTGTAATTGTTATTAATTTTTTTCCAGGGTATGATGACAATCTCCTGGGGCTTGGCACAACTTGGGTGCTAGACTTTCTTCCCTGCGAGTTGCTGCAGTGATGTGCTGTTACTGGAGGTGCTGAGCACCATTCCAGTTTGGGGCTGGGGTACCCCAGCGATGGGTATAGCAAACCACCTTTGTTTATGGATTTGCTAGATGTCAGTGTTCGTCAAGGTTTTAGGGGATCAGTTGAGCTCATTCAGTTTTTGGTTAGGAGAAATAACAAAGTAAGAACAAATCCAGCGCCCCAGCGAGAAGTGATGTTTTTAACCTTCCTCCATAAAGAAATGAGGCTCAGGACGTCCTGGTCTGCGCACGGGCATCCCAAAACTTTTGGGGTGCCTATGGTGTGTCCAGGTGATTAATCAGAAGGCAGTGATGGAAAAAGGAGAAAAATCTTATGAAATTCCTGAAAATAGCTTGGAAGAGAAGAGAGACCCTGTGGGGGTCAGAGCCAGGTGCTGTGGCCACTCAGCACAGATTTGGGGTGACCTTGTCCCCGATGGGTGCCCCTGGGCTCAGCATCCCCTCCCCCAGCACAGAGGAGGGTGCTGAGCAGCTCCGCAGCAGCAGTTTGGGCAGGCAGACAGCTGCGCAGCCGTGTGCTGCCCTTTCCTTCCCACAGCCTGCTCCTTGCTGTGGAAAAGGCCGTTTTTCTCCCCAAAACGGCTCCCTTGTGGGATGGGCAATGTTTGCTCCCAGCAGACGTGAAACCCTATCCCTGTACTTGGTTCTCTGCTTGGGTTTCTCAGTGCTATTTCTGGCACTTGGCTCCTTCGCCTCCAGTGTTCCTGCTGCCTCTCTCCATCTTTTTTCCATTCCTTCCCTCCTCCGCTGCCCTCGCCTCCCTGTACCTTCAGCCGAGCATCTTCCCTGTGGCCCCACCGCGACGGCTGCTCCCTGAAATGGGCCGCCAAGACGGATTATTGCCACTGCTAATCTGCATTCGCCCTCCTCCCCATCCTCCCCTGCTCCTCCCTTCTCCAAATCGCTGCTGTACAGCACCGGTGTGCGGTGCCGCACGGGCTGGCCGGCTG